TTTCCTCAACTCGAGTGTGATTTGCCTATCTCTAGCCACATATACTCCAAACATCAGCTTACTCGCAGCAATTAGCCCGAACGATAAAATTAGCACTCGCATAAGTGAGACTTACAATTTGTTTAGAACTGTAGCCTACACATGTGAAATTTGATAAAAATAGTCCAACATTTTATAAAAGAAATTTGCAAAACAATGTTAATTTTTAACATATTTTTTAAATAAACAAATTTTTCAAAAGTCTGCTTGCGCCATATTATTGCCCTCCTGAAACAGCAAAATCTGCATTTCGAATTTCTTACCTACGGCTAATAGTTTCCGAGGTATTTGTGAAAATGACTTCTTCAACCCCAAATTTAAGGGCCGTTTTCACCTCTTCAGAGTGGACATTCGTACATAAAAAAAAATACGTGTCAAATATTTTTTCAAGTTTTACAACATACAAAAGTTTCATCGAAATCGGCGTGTAACGTTTGGGCGACGTCCCTTATTAGCCATGATGTCGTGATTCGATGTTAACGTTTACTTTACTCACGCGCGAGATATCTCATGCTGATTTTGAATCTAAACGTGATAAGAACGAAATTATGTAATTCAGTCTTAGCTTTGAACCTTATCTGATAACAATTATCGAAGTTACAGCATCAATTATGCAATATACCAATGTAACATACGTAGTATCATTTTTGCACATACATATACACTTGGAAGTCTACGAGCTGGAAAATTTGTTTTTCCTCCTGACTGGAAGACCAGGAGCTGGAGTTAGATCCTCGGTTTATTACGTTGTGAAGCAGTAGATCCCAAGAGCGTGTGACAAAGTGCGGGCTTGTTTTCGTGTTATGCACCCTCGAGGACCGCATAAACTTAAGATATTCAATTTGTAAGATTCTATCTGGCACATCTTTAGCTGTCGTAAAGTTAGCAATGGACTATTGTTCAGCTTCCACGATTTTTGACGTCTTTAGATTTCAACACTCTTCCCTTTAAATGCGTCAATACGAACGACTACAATTTTCGTTGCATTTAGCGAATGTTCATTTAATTTTTCTGTGCCAAAATTATTTACCATTCTCGTAAGAACGCTCGTGAAAAATTATCCCAAGTCTTTTCAACTTTCACAGTGAAATCTTAATAATACAGGATTAAGGGATGAAAAGAAAAAATAATAGATCATTAAATACTTTACTACTTTATCTACAGACATATGTAAAGTGCATATTTATTAATTTTCTCAATTTTAAACTGCAATTTTGATACCGAACAGATCTCTAAACTAGCAAACATCGAGAATATTTATGAATATAATTATTACTATGAAATTAATAATATTAAACAATATATCTATTATGCTGACAAATTTGTTCCACAAAAGTCACAACATCAAAGACTACAAAATTAAAGTAACATATAAATTAAGGATAATACTACTTTTTCCACTACAAATACACAAGAATTGCAGAAAAAGTTTAAACAAACATATGTCGCAAGTGAAACCTGTTAAGCCTACATCAATCCGCTGCAATAACTCTGAAGTTTCATCGAGAGAACGTTATCATCGACGTGCGGAGGTTAAAAGGAAGGATGATTTACAAGGATCCCATAGGTTTCATGTCTAATCTCGATCACCCGGTGTACGAGGAACGAATCCGTGCTCCTACGATCCAGTTTCACGGCCCCGGTGTTAACTGGATTCTTGTAAATTCGTCGTATACACCTCGGTAAACAATTTCATCCCAGGAGCGTGCACCTCTTCGAAGCCGAATTTATCCAGAAGTTGCTTGCAACGATTGTACCACGCCTCCACGTTATCGTATCGGCCGATATCGAAGCCGAAACACTGTCAACAAAATATATTACACGCCGCTGGTAGTATTTCACCTTTCGACTCTTTTATGTGTAATGTGCGAGCGGGAGAATTCTCCCACGCTTTTCAAATCGAATATTGAAATTCGGGGGAAATATGGCAGAGGCGTCGGTAAAAGCACGGAAATGGACATCGCGAGACAAGATTCAGGTAATCAAAAAATTAAAAGAGAAATTTGGAGGTTTGTAGAAATTTGGCTTAAGTGATGCTAACAACGAAATTATTTTTTAGAGTCGCAAGGGAATTTCGGGAACTCAAAAATTAAAACAGAAATTTGGAATTTTAGAGAAATTTGGCTCAAGAGACGCTAATAACGAAATTATTTTATAGACTTCGAAGGGAATTTGAAAAGCTCAAAAATTCAAAAGAAATTTGGCTCGAGAGATGCTAATAACGAAATTATTTTATAGACTTCGAAGGGAATTTGAAAAACTCAAAAATTGCAAAAGAAATTTGGCTCGAGAGACGCTAATAACGAAATTATTTTATAGACTTCGAAGGGAATTTGAAAAGCTCAAAAATTGCAAAAGAAATTTGGTTTAAGTGACGTTAATAACGAGATAATTTTTGAGACTCACAAGGGAATTTTAAGAACCCAAAAATTAAAAAAAAAGAACAAAATTTGAAACTTTGCAGAAATTTAGTTTAAGTGGCGCTAATAACGAAATTATTATTTTGGTTTACAAGGGAATTTCAAGAACTCGGAAATTCCCATGAAAATTTGAAGCTTTGCAGAAATTTAGCGCAAGTGGCACTAATAACGAAATCGTTTTTTATTTCAGCAGTGAAACGGTCCTCAATGAGATCAAAAATTTACTTCTGCGAAGGTTTCAGAGACATCAGAAACAGTTTCCAGAATATTTACTGAAATGAAAAGAGTGAGAGAAGTAGAAAAACTCAAGTTTACCTAAAACTCCAATTACATTCTCACAGGAAATGAATTTATATTAATTTCGAAAACTTGAATTAACTAAAAATCGAAAAAGCTCCGTAT